ATTCAAGAAAATGAGACTTCCACAAGGGGGAGCTCCAGATGTTTACATTATAGGTTAATTGCGCAAAACTGGATTGAACTTAGTATTGTCCTGTGTTTGGTGTGCTGTCTGGCCCATCGACATAGTACTGTCATGTATTCAGTGGACTGCATATTATTTTCCAAATTTAAATATATATGCAAATGTTTTCTTGTAAGATTCATGTTCATGTGTCCAAGGAAGTCTTAAAAGTGGGACTAGTCCAAAACATGACTTTAATTCAGTCTATCAAAAGCACCCCTTACAAGACGAGAGGTTATGCCCTTACATGAGCAAGAACAAAATAACAGAGACATAAATTAGGAAGTAGCTAACAAAAGTAAGGATTTCAACTGTACTGTTACAAACCTTTCTCAGAAAAGTCATCAATGAGGATGGAGGTATCCCAGGATTTGAAGCATTTGCAGATGAGATTGTAAAGCTTTCAGACTTGACTGAATCTTGGGCACGCTTTAAAGCATCCAATGTCTCATTTGTGGCAGAAGAAACCTAAAAAATAACACCTTAGAAAATATAACCATTTTGAATGCAAATGCCCTTTGATGATAATAAGGAAGAATGATTCTTTATTTGATCTTCACAAGAGCTTCTTCTACTGAAGGTTTCATAGACGGTGAATTTTGTATTTGGTTATTTTTGCATCAATGACGAATGATTGGTGATCCAATGGTGGAAATGGAAATTATTTAAAACAATGAAGAGAACAAAGAGTATATTTATTTCTATTATGATATGATCATGCAGTAACGGTAAGGGTTGATCAACCGAGTATTCAACTTTGAGCCATGTATATGGGGAGGTACTGAATTTTCAGCGTAAGCACAATTTTGGGAGGGAACTTTTTTTAATTCTGCAATTAAGCATGTGAAATGCAACTTACCACTTCTCCACTTAACCATATGAAATGCAAGTTACAAGGATATGCATAAAATTTAAATTTTAGGGAACAAATTTCTCACCCCAGTTGTATGAACAAAAAAGTTCTTAACTCCTTGGTTGAGGCCCTTTCCAACAGATCCAATTTCCACAACCTACACTCAATCATCCAATTACCAAATAGTTAGGTTCTCGAAAGATTTACTGACGCATAATGTGAAAGAGCCAAGTGAATTACAAGAAATTAAACTTAATAACTTGACATAAAACTCAAACTTGCATAACATGTGTCACATTATGAAAGCGAAATGACATATCATACATGAGAAAAATAACTGTATTTCTCCCCGAACAGAAATGGAGGGAGGGGACTGTAAAACTCAAATCCTCTTCTAACCAATGTGTTTGATGATTCTGTGTCTGGACAGTCTTGTAACTAGTAATTTTGTAATGCCAGGAGAGTGGCTGTGTGACGTTTAACTAATTGAGCAACATTACCATAAGAAACCTTCGGATTACAGTAGATGACTTCAATTATAGCAAGAGCACAAGTATACCTTCTCAATCAATGAGTAATTAAGGCCACTAACAGCATCAGACTGCAGATCAAGTTCAAGCAAAAACCTCCTGCTACCAAGGTAGCCCCAGGCCTCTCCAGTGAAAACAATGAAAACAAGCTGCATTAAAATTTAAGATCATGAAAACTACAATTCCACATGCACAGCAGTCAGCAGCAATAGATGGTTACCAAAAATCTAAGAACAAAACAAAATTGTTTAAGATAAATGAATGCACACAAAAATACATTCTAACTACACCCTTTATGTTATATGCCCCTAAAAATTAAATTAATGCATAGTCCTTTAAAATTTATTTTTCATATTGGTAATAACTAAGCATTAGTAGAAAAAATATTTAAAAATAAAGAGACGGCAAGCCAAGTATACAAGAGAAGACCACTAAGACAACAAAACTCTTTATGCATAAACACATAAGTAAATAACAACATGGAGAGTCTAACATTAACCACACAATCATTTCTCCCTTGATAATTTTTTTAATTTTTTATAGTACAAGTGATAGTCTAAATTATAGGGGTGGACGATTTCTCTCTCACACACAACTATGATGCCATGGGGGTTCGAACATGAGACCTCTAGTCTGCAAGTTAATGCCCTTTTCCACTGGACTAGACCCCGTTGGCCCCTTGATAATTTATTTTTTATATGGCTCCCTCAATAGTTTATTATGACACTAAAAGTCCAATAAAAGAGCACTACACGCTTAGAGTAAACCATAAGCAACATTTAATTAAGACTAAGACTGGATTCTCAAGGTCAACAAAATCTCCACATAAATAAATTGCGTTCCATGACTGATTTGTCCGATTTTATAGCAAACTTCAGGAGAAATGCGGGAAGAACTTTTGTGAAAATAAACCGAACCTCACTGAAATAAAGATGAGCCACATTGAAAACCCTGATAAATGTAAACTAATATAAGAACAAGATGTCTGATTGTAGCAGATGTAATTTAGGAGGCGAAAGCTGTTGCAGGTAGAAATTCCAAAATTCAGAAAATGGTATAGTTTGGGGAATAGTAATAAATCCATTTCACAGCTACAATGTGGTCAACAAGGGAAGCATACTTGGGGCTACCTACAAGGTTGTAATCTGAGCTGGACAGAAGCCACTTGAGGAAACAAATACAGAATATTCCAACAATCAGCAAAGGACATATTGTGATTTGTTAGCTGAATGCGTAAAAATGTTACCAAAACAAAATAAAATAAAATAAAGAACAATACATGACTAGTGATGAGATAGAGCACTTGGGCAGACAGCAGAACTATGCTGTTACCCATTTAATATGCAGCAAGACTCCAAACTTTGAATGGTGAAACAAACAAGAATAGTGGTTCCCTTGACTGAGTTGCCTCCTAAATGAGATCTGCAAATATATACTTCCTACTATTCAAGGATCTTACAACAGGAGCATATAAGTGTTAATCTCTGACTTTTTGCAAATGACTTTTCTTTCTACCACTTAAAGAGAAGGGAGCAGTTATATCAACAAAAGAGAAACGGACATAATATGCCTTTTCTAATAATCCAAGTGATAGGGCATTCAGCTCATGCAGAAGGCACCTTCAGTTCTGGTGGAGCTGAACTCAAGAAATTATAGTCTGGTTCATGCCTTGAATCAAGTGACCATGCACATGCCTAAACTTCACTCAGCTATGGTTAGTTTACATGTTAAATATGACATATCATCCATTGTTGTTCTCTCCCCCATAACATTTAACAAGTCTTCAATATGAACAAACTGACAGAATGTTGTCTTATGCATGGATAAGCCATCGGATAACACACCTGTTTATTAAAGTCATCCAGACCATCCACATGAGAAAGTGCATCGACTGCTGCCAGCAATGAAATCAGCCCCTAAGAAATGTTCCAAACATAATTGAGTATGTTCATTTAGGGAGCCAAAACATGTTAAGGAAATAAAAACAAACTTACAGAAATAGGGGAGTCAGCGCCAAGGCCTTTGTCACGGAAAAATGAAGCTGAATCCATCGACGCCACCACGAGTATAATGGGCTTAGACTGCTCTGATGATGAAAAATTGATTGGGGGAAGCGATGACCAAACACTGCCCTTCATAATCAAGATGCCCAAATTAAACTTCACACAAATTAAGAAATGTAAAGGGCAAATAAAGATAGAAATTTTCCTCTTCTCTATCTTTCTAATAAAGAATAAAAATTTGAATAAACTTGAAGTGGGTTCAATACCAACATCGTTGACCATTTTCCATTCCAAAAAAGCACAAATAAGAACATTTATGGTACTTGCAAAAGGAGGTAAATCATTTGAAACAAACATGTATGTGCATACTCTACAAAACAACTATATAAACTGCAAACTGACTGGATCATGACTTCAGTTGATTCATTACTACAACAGATCACATGAAAACTCACCTGTATCCACCTAAGGGAAGGCAAGTATTTTCCTTTAGACAAGATTCTGAATCATGAGTCCCAGCTTTCGTTGTCTGATCCAAGCCAAGCATATGAGAGGTCATTTTATGATATTAGGTTAAGCAAACACACATGGGGTAAAATAATTAAAATGTGGCAGATAAAAAATCACGCTGAAATAACAGATTATACCTGCATCACCAGATCAAACTCAGCCACGTCAGCTGTATAAGATTTTACGTTCTTCTCATTCTTTATGGCAGCCTGAATATAAGTG